CACACATGAATCTATCAATTATATAATGTCAAAATTGATATAACTAAATATCATTACAATGTCATTACTCGCATCAATCTGATATTTTTCTTTTTCTAAATTAAATAATTTTTTTCACACTATGTGTGGAGTAGCAAATAAGTAACATTGGAAGTAGCATCGATTCGCGTCCATTAATAAAATCCGTCGGTTCGGAGCATCGATTTCCCGACGACGACAACGCGAAGACAACGCGGAATCGAGCGTGATAAATAAAGGAGGGTGCTCAGATCGGCGGCGCGACGCTCGGATAGGTACGTCCCTTAATAGCAAAGGTCGAGAACCTTGTCGTGAGTTGACTCGCGGGATAGCGCGCAGACCTACTTCCACGTAACGTCGATTCCTTTTATTGATTCTATTTTTGCGAGAAGTCGAGAAAGGGAGGACTAGAAAGAGACAGAGTAAGAGAGAACACTCTCCTTTGCCACAATCACTGTCGCGATTCGTGTGTTACCGATGTCCGGTCTTTCATCGAAAAATGATAATATCCAAAAACTGGGACGTTATTCAGATCGCCCGGATGCCGAAACTTCGATAATATAAAATACCATTGTTAAAATAGGACAGTTATTTTTACGCGATATTGCCTATAAAATATAAAAAAATGGACATAATTATTAATTAATCGGGAATCGATCTCCGGTATTCCAATTTCAGATGTATTACTAGTTAACTGATTAACACAGCAATTCTTCCGACAATTACATAAATGCGTCATATTTTTTTAATAAAATCTCTTCGAAAAAAAAAATAATAATAATAAATATTACGTGAAATGTAATATTATAATATGACGTCCTAAGTAAGAAAAGTAGAGAATAGTACATAATCACGATTATGAGTAAACAATTATGATATTTCGACAAGAAAGAATTTTGCTAAAAATAAACTCGCTAAGTTTAATAGAAGTTAAAGTATCACTTTGTTGACTAAAATCACTTTGATATTCATAAGATAATCTGTAAGATGATCGACGTGCTAATTTCGGAAATAGGCGACATTCGATCCGACATTTCGTAAAGCGCTTCGCGAAGAAGCCATGAAGAAATAATGACAATAAAATGATCCGGGAGAAACATCACGGAAACGATCGCAAAATGAAGAGAGAGAGAGAGAGAGAGAGAGAGAGAGAGAGAGAGAGATA